GAAAACCAGCAGTGCTCGGACCTCGAGGACCGTGATTTGAACAACCCTGTTCTAGAAGAACAAAAGTATATTACCACCTTCTCCATGACTCAGACCGGAGGATTTCTTTTTCAACAGTCCAATACCCCAGTACACTGTCCAGGACATGCATGACGGCATTCAACCTGAATCACTTTTAACGGAAGGTTGGTCCAAGCCATTAGGATCTAGTCAATACATCATTAGACAATTCCATTATTTTCTCCACCCCCGTGACGACAGTGAGAATTCGCACAGCCGATATCCAATAGGCATCTCTTACCCATCTCACGGAACTCCTCATTGGCTATCTCCAGCCAGGCCATGTCCAGCTCGCACAGGTCGTAGCGGCATGTAGCCTCAGCGAGGGCATGCAGTCCCACGTAGCCCAAAGGCGGCGGCTCGGACCCCGAAGAGCGGATCAGCTTCTTGGGCCGGCTGAACATGATAGCTTTGGTTTTGTCGAAAGTGGCCCTGGAGAAGCAAGACACTGGTCTGTTTCACACTTAGCTGCCCCGAAATGAGCCTGAACAGAATGTCACATCACATGTCACACAGGCCCCGGTGCCCTACAGAGACCGGTTTTTAGCATTGATCTGAATACATACAATCCAAACTATCATATCCAACCGTTGAATTATTTCAGAAAACAAGATGGGATTGAACCGGAAAGAAGAGCCTACCGGACCAGGGGTCGTGGAATGGAGTTCGGACTGACGGGAACCTGCACCCCCTTTTCCCATTCCTGTCTCCACGAGTCGAGCAGGATGAAGAAGTCCTCAGGGTTCAGCTGGACAGAGTCGTGCAGCTTCATGGCCGTGATGAGGTCCGTCCTGAAGACCTGTAACACGGTGGTACTGTTCACCCACCTCACATCGCCCTATGCATCTCACGCACGCTGCTCAGCCCCCCACAGGACCTGCAGCACTTACCTCAGAAGGTTTCCTACTCTTGGCTCTAGGCCATGTGTTTCTCCTGAGGTGGGACTTGGAACTCTGGGACCAGGAGGTGGAGCTGCCTGTGGAGAGACCGAATGAGGTAATTTCCCACAATTTCTGTAACATCAGGTGTAGAACTTCATAGGTCCCTGTGCCTAGATACAAAATTTAATCACTCTATAAACATCTGGAGTGGGCAGGAGAGAGCCCGCACGCTGCATCTGCCTCAAGTTCAACAAGGCGTAACTGGAAGCCCATCACCCACACAAGACCCCAAACCATAAGCATGCTAATGTTGCCTTAGGGTTCCATTTTAAACTAGGACCCGTACAAGATACCAAACCACTTCAGCTAGTCCTGCATGAAAAGTCGAGTTTCACTGCTACCATTTAAAAATGGATGTTTTCCTGACCTGGTACCACCTCCTTAAATGTCCACAATTGGTTCCTGTTCCTATAATCCTTCTACTTTGTCCATCTTACCCACAATGCACTTCATCTGCTCTAAGAGCAATAGTGTAAAATATAAATATTGCAAACCAATCACAAAGCTGTACATTAAGGTTACCTCAGCTGCTGACCTATCATAATAGTGAGTGAGTACAGTATTATTCTATTTTAAAAAAATATAAAAACTACGACTCAGCAAAACTGAATAAAATTCTTATTTGAAACTGAAAAAAAATCCTATTTCCAGACTTGCAGACCATCAAATCATAAAACCCAACTTAGATAAGCTATGCCTCGGGGCAAATCCATCCAGCAGATTCTGACAAGCGCATGACTGAAAAGTGGCGAGTGACAGAACTGAATGAATGACGAGACAGAATGAGCAGCAAGCCAAGGAATGACAAAGACGGGAACAACGGAGGGCGAAAGCAGGGGATGACAGACGGATGCGGCCCTTACTTCCATCATCGGACTCGTCGCTGCTGCTGGGGTGTTTGTTGCGCTTCATGGTCAGACGTCTAAGCAAACAGCGCTGGGTTCTATGAAGATGCCAGGGAAAATCAACCATGACCAGCCACGTCTGAAAATTCCATGCTGAACTGATGCAGCTAAGATTCAGGCCTAAGCGGTGGTTGGTGGACGAAGCCTCAGATGTTTTGTATGAAAGAGGTGTGGCCATCAATATGGCTTATAATCTATGAAAGCCCATTCCAAAGTATAAAGATCACTCAGTATTACGAAGATGGCAACTACTCCTTACGTAATTTGGTCAAAAGGAACTATGAGTTTACGTGATCGCAACATCTGTCACTTAGACTAATGTTGTCATCTTGCTTTGATATTATAATCCCTTCAGTCATTCGTGTGAAGCCATTTATGTTTAGTTGCTTACCTGATACTTTTACCCAAGCTAATTTACACTCTTACCCGTTCATACACTCAGACATTTCACTGAAGCATTTATCAGACATCAGTTACAGCAGGGTGAGACCTCAATCAGCAACCTTCAGGTTACAAGCCCGTGTCAAACGCTTTTTCAACTTCTGTAATATACATTCGATCTGCAGTATTTCAGTTGTGTTCTTTTTCACAGCACAAATACTTATGACCATTTACCTCAACTCTGCCGATTTCTCTCATTACCAGTTCTGTTGCAGACATCTAAACGAGAAACCTACAGTTACATCAACATACATTTTGAGATTGGAGTGATAAGTGAGAGAGCCCTTCTACGGTTTTTAAACACCTCATCAACACACAGGCCATGTTACACATGAAACCAAGTGGAACAGCAGGATTTAAATGGTTTTGGGTTAAAATTTAAACTGCTGTTATAAACCCATTTGCTGCTAAAATTAGCCTTCGCTCAAAAGCAAAAACAAAACGCCCATTTCAGGAAAGAGCTATGTTAACTGGAAAATTAGGCATCTCTTACTGCTGGAAAGGGCATTTACTGACTGGAAACAATGGGTGAAAGCATCATAAATTCAACAGCAACAGCAAACAATATCACAGGGGTCTTTCTTCAGCTAGGTAGCACCAAATGACAAACCAGAACTATGGCACCCCTAACACAATTAAAAATAACTACTATATGTTTTTATAAATTACTAAGAAACACTGCAAATAAAATTTGGCCCAAATTGCACCTTTTTTCCACATTCTGGAGAGAGGTGGAGATGCGGGTCCCTTAAATGTTGCTGTTGGCCCTGTTATAGAAGTTTTCAAATGCTTCTGCAGGCCTCCAGTTAAACAGGACACGCGACTTAACAGTGACTCTGTGAGAAAATAATAACCATCCTCCCAATGAATGTAAAGATGACTCAAATGGACTTACGGTGTGCCTTATCAGCTCACAGGAGACTGCTGTCCTTATTCCAAATTCAAGTCTGACTTGCATTACATTTCCTCCCTTAAGTGGTAGATAATGAAAAACACACAACAAACACATTAAGATAAATCCCACAACACATAAACAAGATGTGACAACATCAGGGCATGTAAATCTCATTTTAACACTTTTCAGAAAACACACACCGCACATTTCCCCGCCCCCAAGACAAATGTTAACAAAAGTAAAGAATTTAAATGAAAGCTGTTAAATAATTTTACAGACACATATACTTCAATAATATCTTATCACACATCTTCAACACCAAAAAGAAATACTTGATTGATTTTTTTCCCTTCTGAATACACCTAATAGTCCAAACTACATTCAACTAATTTGAAAGACACGATAACATCCTTGGTGCCTTCAGTTTTATTCCTACAAGCCGTTTCACCATTACATAACCCCGACTTGTATATCCATGTTATGTCTACCAGCTAATTCACAGCACATGTATTTGAACTGTACGTGCGGAACTATAATCGTCCGGCCGTGATGACGTGGGGCGGTGGGAGGGGCGTCCGCTGAGCGCGACCACGCCCCCTCTGCGAGTTTGCGTTAACTAATGGCAGCCACTTGGCTGTATAACTGGACAGCTATAATATCTAATATATCACACGATCAGCCAACACGCGTAATAACACGATTAAAAAGCATTTGTAACGGTATTTTTAAAAAGAAATATTTCAACGTGATGCAAAGCGCAAAGTTATGCCGTTGAACTGTATCTCCAGGGGCCTAAACAATTATTAATAAAGCTTAACGTTTGCCCGAGTTACATTTACGGGTTAATTTATGCGATGGGGTCTGGAGCCGAGGGCTGTTCTCCGCAGCCCGCCAGTGACAGCCTCCATGCAGCGGAGGGAGCAGCCATACGGCGGGCTGAGCGCGACCGAGCAGCCGCTCCGTCCGAAACTCGGCGAGCCAGCGCGATTCCTCATAAAGCGTCGGCAAAACATTACGAGTCCCCCGCCCCCCATCCCCAGAGCACAGCGACCGGCGGCGTTTATTTCACATTTACCCGCAGCGGCTTCGAAGCGCACGGCCAGCCGTCCTAGTCAGTACCTCAGGTTCGGCGCTCCTTCGTACTGCGTGTAGTTTTGCCTTATGGCGCCTTCATTAATCTCAGTGGGGGGGAAAAAGCGGATACCCTTAAAATAAAACCATTTATACGCTAAATATATCCGACAAGACGTCGCGTGCGGGTTAGCGGCGGCGGCCCGAACTTTCTTTCCCGTCCCGCACGAGCCCCCAGGTTCGGGGCAACCGAGCGCCTCCGAACTTAATCTTTTGGCGCCATTTTAGTGACGTTTCTTTATTTCCAGCGGGCAGCGAACCGAGCCGGGCGGGCGGGCTGCTTCCACTCGGACCGCTCAAAGTGCGTCAAAAGCCGACGGCTCTGCTACTAGCACGGGGCCGGGGGGGTGAAAAGCAGCTTTCCTAAAATACATGTCTGAGGGGTGGAGGCGAACACTGCGTTTTAAAAGCACCGCCTCGGACCGACCCCCCCCTCCCAAGGAAAGCAATGGAGGAAACGCAACAGTACCTACACTGCGAAGCGTGGTGGCGGCGGCGTCGGGGGGGGGGAACGGCAGCGCCGTTACGCGAAACGGCCGCTTCCTTAACGCGCGCGGTAAAACCCCCGCCTGACTGCCGCGCGTCTCGCGAGTTCGCGAGCCCACGCAGCCGCTTATAGTGGCACCGCACAGGCAAAGCCCGTCTGACTGACGTCCATCCCCCGTTATGAAAGCATGCGGCCGCAGGACGTGGAGCTCTCCGCCATCAACACACAAACACGCCTGACTGACGTACGTGTCCCCCCTCCCCCGGTAAAGGAGAACCTATTTCTAAGTGATCGCGCCGTGGTCACCAGGGGGCGCCATTCCCATTCGAATTGTGCATTTCTCTTAGTTCCGCCATTATCCTTGCAAAATAGTCACTTGTCCGAAATGTATCGATTTCTTTCACAACATGCATAATAATGCATTTAAATTATGATAATATAATGATACATGTAATTCATAATATTGTTGATGATTGTTATCCTATGAGTACTGCTTTCATACTGTCCAAATAGTTGATACATATCTCAGGTCTTGCACATCGCATTTATATTGCACAGCACAATCACTTTTACCTATAACTTATTTATAGATTTTTTACAGCTGAATATTTCATATATGTTTTTTATTTATTATTATTATATTTTTTTGTTATTTTATGTACAGTTGCTCGGAGTGACATTTCGCTATATGTTGTATGTGTACAACTGTGTACGTGACGAATAAACGTCTTGAATCTTGAATATTCATTTCTGGATGGATGGTTGTTTCTGTTACCGCTTATAAAAACCTCAAAGGCTTGGATCTTTGTAAAATGAACGGCCCCGTTGCGTGTGCGTTACTGATGCGTGCGATCATTAAATAACCTCTTTTTGTGTGCAGCTCTGCATGCATGTAATATGTTGGGTATATTTAATATGGACATTAAAGACTGGTGTATTGTGGTAATTTATCAGGTGTCCAATTACGAAAATTCTATTTTATTGCCTGTCAAAAACGAAATGGGCAAATATACTGCTTCTGTGCCGCCGGAGCCCTGTTTTTTTTATGTGGGGCGGGGGGGGCACTCCGGGTGGGGTGGCTCCGTCACGCGGGCTCCTGCAGCTCAGCGCTATCTCCGTGCCCATACTATGCGCTACCCTTATCAGGACTTCTGTGGTTCGGATCTATCGGCCTATTTTAAATTATTAGCCAGAGAATTATATAAAACTGTTTTTAATGTGGTTCTTGCTCTTATCGCAAAACTGATGCCCTTTCTGGGCTTGGGGCTGGTGATTAAAAATAGTCCCCTACGCTGAATATAATATGAGATATTTTGGCGTCTGGAATCGCATGATATCCGTATTCCATATTTTAATTAATTACCTATTTGTTGACTGAAAATATTTCCCCCCCAAGCATATTTCTTTTGTTCAAAACATTTATTTTTACAGCGCTAAATGCCTTTGTTGTAACCCCTGAGGCTTATTTTACATTCTTATTTTTAATTATTCTACTTAATATACTGTACATCATGTAGCCTAGTTTATACTGTAGATCATATACTACAGCTTAGATAGAATTTAAACATGAAAATTGTATTTAATCCTGGTGTGTTTTGTAATTACCCTTCTTAAGTCATTCTTCAGGCATGGCTGCAGTATGTTGCCGTTATAAACCAAAACTCATTATGGCTGTTTTGTATGTTGCCCAAACCCCACGTGCGACTGCAGCCTCTTGATCGATTCATGTCTGGCATTTCAAATGGGTGGCATTTCAGTGGAAAACAAGTAATTAAACTGAAATTATTCTTAAATGATATTTTCCTGTTTTCCATTTTGAGCAGCTAATGTTCCACGAATGTGTGAATTACCAATGACCATTTTCATAAAGGACATATGTGCCTTATGATAAGGGACATTATGAGAAAAAAGTCTGATTCAGTATTCCTGCGTAATGCACTTTAAGTCAGAAAATTCTCGCAAAAACACTCAGTCCTTTAACAAAATACTTCACCAGTAGCTCATCTTTGTTCCGGTTTATTTCTCAGCTGGTGTTCATACTGAGACACAGTTTTCTTAGATCCTTTTTTAACATACTGGACTGCAGGGTTTAGCAAACATGAAATCCTCACGTCAATAGAAAGGTGTGGCCACAGTAACCAATAGCCCCTGGGGAACTGTCCCAGGAAATTATGGGATGGGGTAAATCCCAGAGGCCCTGGAATAGCCTCTGGAGTCGTTGAGACGCCCCCCAATCCTTTCTAAGAGAGTATGGATAAGCCCACTTTCATGGTAAATCAACTGGGGCCCAGTGCCTACAACACATAACTGGAGACTCATTTGGTCCCCAGTATGGCATCGTACGACTTTCCTGTCCTGTGCACCTGGACGTTGCGGAAGCCTGCAGCAGACAGCAGGTGGCGATAGTGAGACGGGGGGCACTCTCTCCCCTGCGTCTGCACCATCATGTTGAGGGAGAAGATCTGCGCTGTAATGGGGCCTCTTCTGTTCTCAAACAGCAGGGCCTCGACGATCAGGACTCCCCCACCTGTGAAGAGCGCATGTAATCACCAAGGGCAGAACCTTCCCACCCCCTGCCTGCAAAGCACCAACAGACACCAAGAATATGAAGAGGAACCCTAACGAAGTCTGCATACCTAGAACGTCAGTTTCCCCTGCTTGGGCATGACACACGCACTGTTAAACAGTCCATGGGCAGCAGGTACAGACTGCACATCCATTTTCTCAAAAGCTACGGGCACAAGGCAGGGAACAAGCCAGGGTGGGGGGCAATAACCCAGTACAGGGGCACATTCACACACACATGCACACCTATGGGCAACTTGGTAACTCCAATCAACCTCAGCATTGCCTATGGGCAACTTGGTAACTCCAATCAACCTCAGCATNCCTATGGGCAACTTGGTAACTCCAATCAACCTCAGCATTGCCTATGGGCAACTTGGTAACTCCAATCAACCTCAGCATGCAGTGCTAACCACTGCATCACCATATCACCCCAGAGTGCACGCTGGTATATACAGCTCTGGAAAAAATTAAGAGACCACAGTAAAATTTTCAGTTTCACTCATTTCTCAATTTGTATGTTTCTGTGTTAAATACACATTTTTTGTAACCTCCAACCTGGCATCTCATTGATGAAGGGCTTCTTCCTTGCTGTATGGGACTTCAGTCCTGCTTCTAGGAGCCTGATACGAACTGTCCTAGCAGTGCACTTCACACCTGCACTTAATGTTTCCCATTATTTTTGAAGGTCACTTGAGGTCATCTTCCAATTCATGAGAAACTACCAGATAAGTTAACGGTCATCTCTGGTATTAGAAAGTCTCTTCTACTCTCTACCTGGCTGGTTTCTGGTGGTTCCCAGTGTCTCCTGCTTCACCTTGTGTACTGCTGTCTTAGAAACTTTGAGCCTGGAAGCAGCCCGCCTTGCAGTGTCGCCTTCTGCCAGCAGAACCACGATTAAACCAGGATTTTAAAATGCAGATAAAAAAAAAAATTATAATATAGAGTGGTCTCTTCATTTTTTCCAGAGCTGCATTATCCTGGATGCTCCCTCGCAACAATATACCTAGTTGGTGACACATTGGGTAGCACTGTTGACTCAGGCCTCCAGGGTTGTGGGTTTGAATCCCATTTCCACTTTCTGCGTGCCCTTTTCTCCAGAGTACTCTGCGACTGGAAGATGTACGGAGCACACACCCGGCCTGCAGCTCCGGTGGACCTTCTGCAGCAGCTGAAGAGCCTTTCCCTCTTTCCAGTCGTGGATAATCCGTGCCAGGATGTACAGGTCTGATGGCGGAATCTCTCCGGAGAAGAAGTCACCTGCATTGAAGAGGAGGAGGAGGTCACCAGGCAGGGTGAGGGGCGGAGCGTGTTGGCCTGTCTCGTGTCATTTCGAAGCGGTTTTCACTCGTGTTAGAATCATCATAGATTAGCGGTACTCAAATGACAGTCATCCAGACCGAGATCTGGACCATGTCTGGATAAATTTACTGAACTCCCCCCCCCACCACACACTTCATGTGACTTGGACAAAAGTAATTGTTGTCATAGATCAATGGCAAAATTTTACTTAACCAATGGTAATTTATAGATTCTGACTGACTGACTTAAAGGTTTACCTTCAAACAGATGGAACAGGTGGGATTCAAACCTCAGCAGTATGGAAGATGGGTAGACTAATAATAGTAATAATAATAATAATAATAATAATAATAATAATAATAATAATAATAAACTTTTTGAGCTTGCAAAACTGCTAATTATTTTCTTAGCAGGGCTGTCTGAGTTTCATACAAAAATGAAAAACAATTCGAGTGACTGACTCAAGCGCTTTAACTGCAACCATATATAACTGCTTCACTTTCATCACTCCTTCCAAGCATGACACACTGTGGCACGGCGCCCGTAGATTCACCACGCTGGTGATTTTCCGCAACAATGAGCGGGATAAAGCTCACCTTCCACAAAGCGGATGGTGTCGTCCGTCTGTGAAAAGTGCTGCTTGGCCGCTTGCACTACCCTGGGCACATCCAGCACGGATACGTCGGCCGAGGGGTATTCCCGGGACAGCTCCCGAGCTAAGGCCCCCCCGCAGCCTGCAGACACACCCAGGAAAGCCCCCACCCACCCCAAGCCCAAGTTTTAACACACTCACCAAAAGGAAGACTAGTCTATATTGTCTCTCACTGACTATGGATGAAATCAAGTTTAAAAAAATGAAAAAACACAAATCAGAGTCCTCGTACCTCCAAGGTCGACAACCGTTTTAAAGGGCGAAAGGTCGAATGCGGTCACTACATCATGCCCATCGATGGCCCAGGTAGAGTTCATTAGGCCCATGAACTTCAGCATCTCTTCATCGGACCTGCAATGAAGAGAGAGCCTCCTAAATATGGATGTCTATGGAATCAGTCCGCAGACGGGGCAGAGTGGAGCCCAGGAGCCAAGCCCTTTGTAAACAAAGAAATACTTTCAGTTGAAGTATTTTTGTTACGACTTTCAGACGTTTCACCAATCGGGCAAAAGTGTTGTAGTAACGTCTCTAGAAGGAGACTGAATGACTGGGGAATTTCAGAGGGCTGTAAGTGTGAGTTACAGCCCGCAGTAGCTGCAGATTATCATGGGGGGGCTCAAGGAAAGCCAGAGTGAGGCCCCCCAGTTACATTTGTGTGTCAAGTGGATTCTTTTATCCTTGCTCAAGGGTCCAACAGTGACATCGCTCCGCCCACCGCAGGATCCGAACCCGTGACCTTCCCATCATGGCCACAGCATCCTAACCAGTGGTGGACAGTTCAGGTCCAGAAGCTACAAATCCAGACCAAGATTTTGTTTCAACCACCCAGTTCTGCATAAAGGGTCACAGTCACAGAGTACTCAACTGGATGGTTGAAACAAAATCTTGGCCTGGATTTGTTCTTTCTGAACCGGAACTTTCCATCACTGGTCCTAACCAACTTAATACCACAGATATTCACTCACAGTACCTGTGGCTACTTCACAAATGTGTGCAATTCTCTGTCTGCTATTCCTTCCAAATAAATATAAATAATGATGCAAAATAACTCCAAATAACCTGTATATGGCTTTGAAAATGTCTTCGGATGGAATGCCAAAGGTTTTCTCATTCTGATTCTTCCCCTCCCTGTAAAACATACAGTGGCACACAAGAGTTAGCATGTATAATAATGTAAAATGTCTAGAGGTGGACAGTTCAAGCCCAGAAAGTAAAATCCAGACCGAGATTTTGTTTCAACCAACCAGCTGAGCATAAAGAGTCACAGTCACAGAGTACTCAGCTGGATGGCTGGAACAAAAACTCGGTCTGGATTTTTACATGTGCCTCTTAAACAAAGATATGATAAATTACATGAATAAAGTCCATGTCATCCACATTGTGACATTTAAAATTTTAAAAAGCAACATTCCTGCGTCGTGAAGAAAGCAAATCATGCCTGAGATACACCGTAATGCGGACGACCGTGCAAACTGTGTCCCACCTGATGGTCTCGGTCAGATTCCCCCAGAGCGGGTAGACGGTCTGGGAGAGGTAAACAGTCATGCCGTGGAGCGACTTGCCCCCCGTCCTGGTCAGGTAGGTGTTGGACAGCTCTGTAGCGCTGTACAGGGCTGTCAGAAAGAGCAGATTCTGCATCAGGGAGACGGAGCAGATAGGCCAGCGACAGCCCTCTGCAGGAACCTGAGCGGCCCTTAGAAATGCCCGTGGGCGTCGTCAGGCGAGATCACTCGGGGCTACAGACGAGTATTTTAACCCGAGTATTATAGCCCCGAGTATTTTAGCCCCAATGCTGATCTTCCTTCAAAAAGTCAAGCCCCCGGTAAACTTCTTTCAACAGCTAGAAACGTCCCTGTAAATGACACTTCATTAAATGCATTACCTATTATTCATTTGCAAAAAAAAAATCTGTGACTTACTGGCTTTCAGTCTTTGCTTTGTGAATGGAACAAATCTATAAAATGTAGCAACTGCAGAAGGTCACCCATTACATGCAAATTCAATCCCACACAGCACCTTATTGGGGAGGGTGTTTTGGGACATAAAGCGGGTAAAGAAATGTCCTTATTTTGTATCGAGCTGCCTTTCAGTACCTCGGTGTATGTTTACACTGTATTACAATATATTATTTTGCTGTCCAATAAATCATCTTTTTGCTGAAATGAAATTCTGCAGGTGGATTCCTTTCAACAAATGTAACTTAATTATTACTCTATTCATACATATACTTTACAACCAACGTTATTGTAAATCTGAAATGTATTACAAGGACTTTCATTCACTTGACAGGGTGAGCTGTTGTGGGTAATGGCTGGACAGAATAAAGAATATATATACATGGATTTAAGTTCATTTTCTTGACGTGAACAACTTTAAATGAATTTAAATGTTACATTTGCATGAAGTTAAAAGTTACATTTTTATGCTCAATCCCCGGACTGAATACTCAGTCGCAGTAATACAAAAATCACAGTCACGCAATACATTTCCTCCTGATTCCGCTAGAGGGCGCCTTATTCTGTCCAATAGCCACACAATGCAGAGAAATCACTCATGCAAATAAACCATTTTTTATATAAATATTGTATAGAGCTAAATAGAAAGTGAAGTTATACATGCTGTAGAGTGGTGCAACAGCAAGGAAATTTATAACATTAAATTTAAATGTATTTATAAATTTATAACATGTAAGGAAATCAACACATTTCTCTCCTTAACTGACTTAACTGACTCCTGCCAGTATGATGTCATTTTCGAAGGTGCACAGAAAACATGAGCAGCAATTTTATGTGGAAAACTGAACAGCGAAAGTGTTTTTTGGCCCAAAGTGCTTCACCAAATCGCTTGTCATTTAAGGAGGCTGTAATTCTAAGCCCTGAATGGCGTCCGACCAAACAGCCGTAAATGAGCTCACCTTCACGCTCCGCGGCTTCCACCTCGAGGAGGCCAATGCCCACCAGTGCATCCAGCAGCCTCTCAGCACCGTCTGCGCTAATGCGCAGCTCCTGGGCCACAGCCTCTGCACTCAAAGGCTTCTGGGATTGCGCCAAAAGGTCAAAGACCCCCAGCTCACAGGCAGAGAAGATCACCTGTGTGTGGGACAGGACACTGCTGAGGACTATTTATATTAGTGACAATGCAAACAGTACTCCGGTCACTTATGTACGCTCATACATCAGAGTACAGCTTTAGAAATGCATGCCCCATTAATATATGCAAACCTTTGAAACTCTGAAGCCGTTGAGATACTCCAGCAGCCTGGAAGGGTAGTGCAGCTCACTCTCAGACAGACGGCCTGCCATGACAGTCAGGCCTGCAGGGCCAGAGAGAGCAGGACAGGCTGACGGTGGCTTTGATCCCAAAACTGACTGGGAAATAAAGAATGCGGGGAAACAAACAGCGGCTGCAAATTTTAAAGCGAAGAAAGGAGAAATTAAGATTTTTTAAAATGTTCTTCAAAAAAAGGAAAATAAGGTAATCCACAGGGTTGCCAACTTTGGTCAGCTGGCTGGTGTGAGACTTTCAATTTGACACAAGTGTTCACACTCATTTGCATGTGTGTAATAGTTTTATTACCTTGTATATAGTCTGTAGGGTTTGCAAACTACCCCAGCGCTTTTGATGTAGCTAATTTTAGGTTTATAATGGAATAATATAGATTTGTCGTAGGATTTCTTGTGTGTCTGAAAGCATGATTGTCACCCCAAATGCGTGAGATCTGGCTGCCCCGTGTACAGATGTTTGACCTAATATAATTTAATGAACGTAATGAAGAATAATTAAAAATATTAATTAACGTGTTAATAAACATATTAACGGGGGATGTATCAGAAATGAACTAATCTGTAAACGAATCATTGATCCTAAAGAAATCCAAAGAAACGAGTCGCCGAAAAAAGAATAATTTTCATATATAATCATTATGTTACATAAACTTCAAAATTGCAAGTATCTTCACCATCAACCTATCCACCTCCAACCACTTACTCCGTTCAGCTGTGCACGAGCGTATAGCACATTTAGTTATAACTTTTAAAATAGTCTCATTCCTGAGGTTAAGTTTTTACGATTATACGATTACGATTACAACGAGGAAAAACATGATACGAGCGATCAAACTGACATACCTTAATGTGAAAATGCAGTAAGACTTGACGTGCATTTTGATAAAGCATTTAACCCTCTTTGAATACAGATGTTAATAAAGCAAACGCGTCGTATACTTCGCACGTTTATATGATTTTAATGCAAACATTTACTTAGAGTTTGGTTTCTAAATAATTGCTGGTTAGCGCATGGTGTTAAGTTTGAAGCCCCGTGACTCACCCTCGCTGTTAGTTACAGTGCCTTTAATAAAGATCCCTGCTCACATTAATTTCTGTAAGAGACGTGTAAGTGCCTTGAAAGCTACCAGCCGTTGTATGTTCTCATAAATATATAAGCGAGTCTGCAGCGGGCTCAGTCGCGTTGCGCGTCTCCCTCGCGATCCGGGGACGGGGGATGGCGCTCGGGGGTTTAACCACAGCCCACCAGTGTGAGGCAGTCTGATTTCTACGGTGGATCCGAGAGAGAAAAATCAAAACTGGATTAGGTCATTTTTTTCCTGCCAGGTTACAAACTATGCTTTTCTGAACCGGAAGTATAACTATATCCCGGATTAAAACTTTCGCCCAGAGGATTTTCCTGTATGCTATTAAAATCTGCGGCACGAATGGATAATAAAAAGAAACTGTCCTTTCCTGATTATGCAGGATCGGTATTTCAGTCTGATGGAAAATGAAGAAGCTTAACATTGATTACATTTTGTACAGCTGCAAACTTCGTCGGGACTGTATTGGTACCCAGTCCTTGAGTATAATCAACAATATTGCCCTTGTTAACATTAAAATGCATAAGCTGTGTTGAAGAAAACGTTATGAAATGATCGGGAATATTTAAGGAAACTGCACATTAAAACAATCTGCCGATACTTAACTATAAATAAGCGTCTTCTATTTTGTATTTCTCCATTTTGAAGTGAATTGAATACCTGGTAATTTTCTATTTAGAATATATACAAGTAGGACGTACACTGCTGTTAGTAGTGTTGTGGTTTCATTATTCACTGCCAGGATTCGTGTTGAATTGTCGCTGGGGTTAAACTCAGCAGTGCTGCCTAATTGGCCGATACGTACTACAGACGTTGAGAGCAGCCTGTGCTTGCAATTAGTTTTTTAACAAAGCTCTTCTCGAGATAACGAGAACCAATTAGAGAGCCAGTCCAACAGTGGTGCTGGCATGGTCTCCGGGAGCCCATCTGACTTGCCAGAAGATCGGCCTCAGTGGACTTGATGTATTCCTAGTTCATAGGGGTGCTCCACTCCGTCTTACCAATGGCACTTATTCCTCAAGGGCCAGTTTGACAGCTAGGCTGCCCCGGCTGCCAGTGCTGTAGTTTCGCTCTGCGTGGGACAGTCGATGTGAAAAGGAATCCTAAGAATGAAATCTATGGATATATATACAGTGTAGAGAGAGACTTTTCGTTTAAATATCACAGTATCAAAACTTGCGGTGCGTGATTGATTCACTGTTTGGACAAAAGCGTTGGGACACCAGCCTGTCCAACATCTCACTCTGAATCAAAGGGTATTAATATGAAGTTGACTGACCCGTAGTTGCTATACTAGCTTGTGCTCTTCTGGGACGGCTTTCCATAACATGCTGGTGGGATCTGCTGCGATTCAGGTTGGGTACCGATGTTGGGTGATCAGATCCCTCTCTGTGAGCTTGTGTGGCCCCCACCTCACAGATGAACTCGCTCCCAGACGTTTACATTTCACAATCACTTCGCTTGCGGCTGAGAAGAGCAGCTCTAGTAGGACAGATATGTTGAGATCCATCTTGTTGGAAGGTGTCCAGTGGTGTTCAATGATGGTGCCAGGCGGACTGACCCCTTCTGTATGACCCCCCCCCCCAGCCCACCCCATTCTGTTGCCATTGATGCTGCAGATTACATGGCTGTCTGCTTAATTATCCACCTGTATGTCAGCAGTGGCCAAATCCAGTAATTACTACGGGGGTCCCAATACTTTCGTCTTGTGGTAGAAAAATTATAAATCCCGTAGTATAACGGCCAGTGAAGCCACTTAGAATAAATCTCCGGACCTCTGACTTGGTGAGCAAAGTTATCTCCTTCATTCCAGCAATCCAGCACAGCGCTCCAGTCACACTCTGGCACCAGGTACCCCGAGCACCAGGAGCACCCAGCTGATAAACCATCATTCTCAGTTCCAGATAAGGACTTCTAAGTCCTGATTGGTCACAAAACACCAACAAACCAAGCTCAAACGTATAACAAACACAATTCTCCTGCTCTATTGGTTCACCTTGGTAGCAAGGTAACATCCATCCATCTTGCTCAATTTACCAGAACACGCCTCGACTGCTAGGCTCCTACCTGAGATATGGATATAGATATTGTTTATATGACATTGAATCACTGTAAATATTTGGTTGTCCTTTGATTCATGATTAATGCTTTGACGTATTGCCATTGAATCAATGCAAATACATGGTTAACATATGATTAATATGATTATCGTAACAATTACTTATACATTCATACTATTGCATAACATATTGTGTATGGCCTACTGCGACTACTTTATAACTATAACTCTTTGTGCACCAGTTGGGGTAGCTTCGAATCCCTTCCTGCAGCCGGTTTCTCCCCCCCAATCCTTACTCCGCTGTTCATCTCTCCAAGGTCTGATATCTTTTCAGGGTCTGCGGAACCAATTGCAGGCAGCTATCACGAAGCGAGGACACACAGTATTCAAAACAACCTCTTCTTGCCTAAAGCCTAAGACATAACAGTCCCGATATGCCTCTCCTCCGAGGCCTACCAATGTCCAATTTTACTTCCACAGTCTATATAGTGTAACAGTTTGGGGGTGATCATTTTCTGTTCCAGCAACATGGTTTGGCAAATCTGGGACGGTCACATGAGTAAAATAAATGATCAGAGACACACTGAAGTTACATAGATACAGATCAGCTACTTATTGCAATTCTATGGCGGAAGCGGTACTTCCCGCGCAATCGCTTGTGCTGCTTATATAATGACTTGTATGTAGCTATAGGGTTGCACAGGTTAGCAGTTAATGTCTTCTTGCATGCACACACTGAATCATTCAATCACACTGCATGAGCACACATTCATGCGTCTATAAACCGTGTTTCAGAGCAAAATGACACCGAAAGGGAGAGAGAATGCAGAGAAAGGGGGGAAAAGACAGTGAGTACAGGAAAGAGAGGGAAGAAAGAAAGACAGGAGAAGAAGGAGGCTCAACCAGTGGAGTGAGAGCTGAATGAAAGGTGCCGTAGAAGAGTGCTGGCTAAGGCAGGACATGTTGCCTGGTTGAGGTTTTTAGCAGAAGCCTGGAATGTGCCTGAAGCAGCTCTTCAGCAATGGGTAAGAGGCACCAGGGACCACAGACAAAAGATCAGGACGTGAGTGTTTCATTCCTCCAGCGGATGAGGGAGTCCTTGTGGACCTCATCAAGGAACTCAGGGAAAGGGGATTTCCGCTGAGAACCAAGGAACCAGAGGCACGTTCAGCTTCCAGAGCTACTGGCTTCAACAAAACCGTTGTTGCAAAGTGGTTCTGTGATTATGAGGCCGTCGTTCGGGGCCCTGGCCTGGACAACCTTCCTGATCACGTTCATAATTGTGACGAAACGCACATTCTCGGGATCGCTTCGTATCTCAGACGTATCTCAGTACGAGATGTGTCCAACCAAGAGAAGCATATGTGGTCATGGATCACCCTGAAGTTGGCTCTCCGTGTTTTGAAATTACTGGTGGTGAAAAAGGAGAGATAACCCCCCATCTGGCAGGTTTAAATGCTGTTGGTGGCAAAGGCCTTGAATTAATTATACTCAAGGGCAAATGACTGAAGGCAAAATGGGTCCCTGCATGTCCACCAAACACTACAGTGAAGATGTCTGCTATAGGATAGATGATTAATGATTGTTGAATGGGGAAGACACTTAATTTCACACCTTCCAAAGGATGATCCATGACCACATATGCTACTCGCTCACACGACACATTGTTTACAGCTGACAGAGAGGACCCCTTTCTAAAGGCTGGTAATGGGAGCCTTTACCAGAAAGAGGGGAGGACAATGGGGTTTTTTTGTTGCCCGTGTTTGCAGAGGTGTGGGAGAAGGCCTCTACTGCTGGCTTTCAAGCTGGCTTTGAACCATGCACTGGTTCAACTATGCACTGATCAACAAGAACTTAAAAAATACATGTTTGTTGGGGGAGCAGCTCTGTGGGTTGGGACTCAGAAGGTTGTTGGTTCATATCCCTGATTCGGCAGAGTGATCCCACCATTGGTCCCTTGAGCAAGACCCTTAACCCCAATTGCCCCAGGGACTGACTGACCCTACTGTCTCCTCCTTCCATGAGGTGGCCTCCTGGGATGCTTTTCCAGCTCCTGAAGGAGGTCCCACATATGGGCTCATTGGCCGCTTTTCCTTCACTCTCTGGTCAAACTCCTCCAAAACCATTTCTGCTGTGTTTAGGTCAGGTGGCCCGGGTCATGTGATCGACAGTCGCTCTCCATTGCAGGCGGTTTGGTGTCTCCAAACTTTTGACTGGCACTGTATGTTATGCTATAATATTCCCACAAATCTTGGCGTTCCTTAGAGACCCGAGGAGAACAGGCATCACAAAATGGGATCTGGCTGTAGCAAATAAATTTCACCAGTTAATCTCTTGTTGTTCACGTCATGTACTCCTGTACATTTTTTAATATGATGACTCTTTGGATGATTCATCATTTCTTACTTTAAATCTACCACTTTGAGGACATGACATTTGAATTTCTCCTATTTTGGATCTTTTGTGAACAAAGGTCCATGCAGATAATGGTGAGCAACACCGTGATGTAGAAAGACAATGAGATTAAATCCAGATTCAACTTTACTGTTATCTTCTGTTCTTTAAATGGAGCCCACAGGTTTGGAGGAACATCTCATCCGAGTCCTTGGGGCCATCAGTCAGCTGACTGACTGGTTAGACCCATTGACTAATGAGAGATGCATGCTGAACTTGATGGCTTGAAGTTCTTTGGTCCTTATATTAGGTTATAATCCTGCTGTGTTGTTTGCAGACTCAGATGTAATCACTCACGGATGACTTAAGCATCTACCCAAGAGTTCTAGATGTGTGGCGAGGCACAGAATATCATGTGGACGTCCTCTTCTCCAGGCTTTCCAGTGCTATTCCAGAAGGATCCCCTCCACCAGATACAAAGAATATAAACAGAGTAAGAGAATATAGTTTATCAGTTAGGCTCTATTCACTTTGATGTGAAGAGAGCTAAAGACAATCAGACAATTCAGTGACACTGTTACTCCCATGTAACAGCTGGATTTGCCCGTGGAATTTAGCTTTGACATAGTCAACTTCATAAGAAACTAAAGTTCATCAGACTTAGGTGGGTTAGTGCTCTACAAATATATCTAATAAGTTGGCCATTTAGCCAGATCCAAGGCCTTGTTCTGATCCATCCGTGTAGAGAATGGAAGTTTTAGGTTGTAGTTGGTACATTTGCATTGGAAAGAGTATGAATTTGACACTAAGTGTTCTTTCACGTATGACACTGGATGATTCTCCACAGCACTGCACAAAGCTGGTGTTAGAAGAGAGATGGAGACCTTTAATCTGGCTGCATGCTTCAGACGAAATCAGCGTCGTTTTAGTAATGTGATGTTGATTGACAGGTGATCACTGCGGTCACCATTTTGGCGCATCCCCTGTGCAGGGTCCCCAAGGCAAACTACTTCCCGTTTGTTCTGATCCCGCCCACTGTCCACGATTGGCTGATATAAATGACGCCCCGGGGGGTTGGTCAGCAGGACTAATTATGCAGTTACCAGCACGCTTTGATATATTCTATATTTAAGCA